GTACGGGTACTAGCATCACCTCCATTTCATAGACCCCCTGCACCAAAGGGTTGTAGGTTCTGTTCCGGGTCAGAGAACATGCCCGCGTTTGGGGCTCAATCCCCAGTAGGGGGCGTGCAGGAGGCAATGGATCGGTGTTCCACTCTCACATCGATGTTTCTCTTTCTCCCTCTCCCTTCCTCTCTCTAGCCCGGCGGGTGTGGCTCAGTGGTTGAGCATTGACCTGTGAATCAGAAGGTCACGGGTTCGACTCCCAGGCAGGGCACATGCCCAGGTTGTGGGCTCCATCTCCAGTGTGCGACTTGCAGGAGGCAGCCAATCAATGATTCTCTTTCATCATTGATATTTCTATCTCTCCTTTCCTCTCTGAAATCAATACAAATATTTAAATGTCCCAGATAAGACAGCTGGTAACAGCTGCAATTTATTTTTTTTTTAAGATTTAATTTTTATTTATTTGTTATTTATTTATTTATATTAACCCTCACCCGATGATATTTTCCCATTGTTTTTAGAGAGAGTGAAGAGAGCGGGGAAGACAGAGAGAAACATCGATGCGAGAGAAGCACATCGATTGGTTGCCTCCTGCACAAGCCGTGGCCAGGGCCTGGGCCAGGGAGGAGCCTGCAACCAATGTATGTGCCCTTGACCGGAATTGAACCTGGGACCCTTTGGTCTGCAGTCCGGTGCTCTATCCACTGAGCCAAACCGGCGAGGGCAGCTGCTATTTATTTATTGACCATCTACTATGTACTGGGCTCATACATAATGATAACTCGCAGTCACAATATGCCGGGCACTGTTCAAAGTTTGGTACATATATTAGCTGATTTGATTCTCAGGACGAGCCCTGGTAGAAGCATGAATTTGGACTCTCCTTTCCCTGCCTCTTCCCAGGGATCCTATTATTATTTCCATTCCACAGGTGAGGAAGTGGAGGGACAGTGATGGGCAATGACCCCTGATGGGAAGGTCCCACGGCGAGAAGGTGCACGGCAGCCTGGGAGCTGGACAGGCCGGCCCCAGCGTCCCTGTCCTGAGTAATTCGGCTTTCTGTGTGCACAGGTGGCCGAGAACCTGAGCTCTTAAAACCTTACAACCTCATGGGTTTCTCCTTCTTCCAGGAAGGGGTTATTATTCCCATATTTTTTTCCTCCAAAGAACTTGAGGCACAGAGAAGGCAGGTTAAAAGTTGGGGGTATCGGGGGGATAAGGACACATATGTAATATCTTAATCAATAAAGAAATTTTTTTTTAAAAGGTGTTGGGGGTTTTTTGTTTTTGTTTTTTTTAAATATATATGTTATTGATTTTTTACAGAGAGGAAGGGAGAGAGATAGAGAGTTAGAAACATCGATGAGAGAGAAATATTGAGAGAGAAACATTGATCAGCCGCCTCCTGCACACCTCCCACTGGGGATGGTACATGCCCTTGACCGGAATCGAACCTGGGACCTTTCGGTCCGCAGGCCGATGCTCTATCCACTGAGCCAAACCGGTTATGGCAATAAAGAAATTTTTTTAAAAAAAGAATGCAAAACAAAAAGTTGGGGGT